AAATGGATTAAATCATGAGTACCAACAGATATTCAAGCATATCACGAATAACAATGAAGGGAAATTCACTGATAATTTTTTAACTACTGAATATTAGTAAGTAACGTAACTAGTACACAGAAAACAATATTGTGATGATCAAGCAAAATTAATGATAGTATTATATATAATGCGCTACAATACAATACACATTACCCAATTGAGTGAAACAAGGTAAATATTTGAGGATAGTTTGACAACTAGGCTCAGTTCAAATGTTTTAATTAATCCTCTAATGTGTATTTTGATGAAGAATATCATGAAGTGATGGACAAGCTGGAGACAACAAAGTTATATCATGAAATAGTTTGAATCCATTACATTTATCCATTAACTTTTTCAAAATAAACTAACGAGATCATTATCAGTCTCCATTCCCTAATGTTTATCTTCAAAAATAATTTTGTGTTACACATTACCATCTAGTTTGATAATGATAATAATAAATTGCCTTATTCAATCCTGTAAATTTGGTTAAAGCAAAGCAGTTGCACAAGTGTACAATACTGTTAGAATTTATAGTTTATATCGCACATACTGTTATGACATTATATCCGGCTTCTTATCATGTGACTTATCCACCGATCAAAATAGGACTTATGCAATCTTAGCACTGTGCCAAACCAATGACGTTCGACCGGTATGGGCAGCCCAGCGTCCTTATTGGTCCTATGTTCGCCCAACCCGTCCACTTGAGTCCAAAACACCAATACCAGCTTCCATTATGCAAACCGAATCATTTATTTCAGATATACTGGGTTTATATATCAATCAAACAGACCGCAAAGCACCATAAAATAGGAAATAACATTTGTATACAATAAAGCCAAAAAGTGACTGTGAACGTGGGAGGCAGTAGTCAATAAATTGAACATAGCTTAAAAACCGTAAATCGTAAAATAATAAATTAAAGGTCAAAATAAAGCTTATAACAAGGCAAATATAGATATACAAAATCTGGTCACTGAATATTTATACCATGAGAATATATAAATAATAATAGTCCATTAATAAGTCTCAGACGTTACTCGTAATCTAATCTTCATTAGGATATAACACACACACACAATAAAAAAAAGAATGGAAAGATTGTTTGATAATGATCAGTTGACATCAAGTTCCAATTCTTAATTCATCCATTTACTTCCTCCATCTAGAACGTGATCACTTTCCATTTTACCAGAAATCAGATAAGGAGCAGATTATGTACATAAATATCTAATTTTAAATTTGTAACAATGAATTACAGATAGTATATTGGGAATTATTCACGAATGTATAAAGTTAGCTATTTGATCACAGCTAAGAATGTGACATAAATTAGCTTACACAAGATTCTTCTCATAACATAAATTGTTATGGGTTCGAGCTCCACGTGTGCGATCGTAAATGCATTAAATTGAACAGAACAAGAGCAAACAACCGAGCAGAATAACATGAATTCACTATATTTTGTTCGGTTGTCATCCGTTGCTTACGTCCTGTAATATTTAAAATCAAGTTTATGGGAATGTTTACAAATGTGTAACAGTAAAAATGTATATGTCTCACTATAGTGGAGTAGTGAAGATATATAATGAGTAAATAAATATAAAATGTGAGAGAAACTTCTGGATCATCAGACAGCAACAAATGATTCACTGACTAGATAATGAAGTAGTTAGACGTAAATTAATAAAAATTAAGTTGGATATTAACACCATTGGATGCCGGCTCAAGGGTCTAGAGTTTAAGCTCTCATGAGCGAGACCGAAGGTCCTGGATTCGAATCCCGTGAGTGAGGTCTTGGGATCGCACTACTGATTGGTTTCATGCTAGGATAAAGCGGCAGTTCGGTGCTTCCGGGTTTTGCATGGCGGTCTAACTCTGATTGACCCATGAACTTAACTATTAAATTAAGAATAAGATGAGTTGGGATCAGTTAGTTAAAAAAACAGATAACAAGATTATGACATTGAAACAATGGATGAAATTAAAACAGGAGAAAGAGAAAAGGAAATTCCAGAAATTATGTAATAAACTGATGATAAAAGCACTATGGTAAGGGTTAATTTACAACTGTGTTCATATGGATGTATGAGTCCGGTTTTAGGTGATTAATGGTTATGACTCTCCCCAATTTGCTGACTGTCTCAACCATATAAACAGTATTAGTAAGTTAAAAAGAATCTTGAAACTTGAAAGAGAAACGAAGTTAAGGGAAAGATTGATGAGACGGTGTATTATGCAAGGTATTTTGACGATACTTTCATTGTATGTAATGATCCACAACAAACAAAACACCTCCTAAACTTTTCCAACGATTCTTATAAAAATATTCAATTTACCATGGTACAAGAAAAAGATGATATGATTCACATTGTGTTCTTGACTCAAATGGGCGGGGATAGGGAAGAAGAACCAATAAAGACTTGAGGTTGACACCTGTCAGCTCGTATTGTTTTACACGTCATTGGTTTGGCACAGTGTCAAGTTCATATAAATCGGCGTTCTCATTGGCGATCTTGCCACTTGATAATTAACAAAGCATAAGAACGTAACATAAAGTATCTACATTTTCTGGAAACGAACTACAATTATAGTTCAATAAATTCTCTTAAGCGATCGCCAGTGTTCAGTAAATCTGAAAGTATCATCATAAACTAATAGATAATCAAACCAGAATTCCCCATATTGATCATTTACTTGACAATAACGGTCTTACCGTACCTTAAACTTTATGCCAAGTTAACAAATTATACTGAAAACTTTGTACAATTTCTCTACTGTCTAACATTCACGAAATGACCAGTGAAAACCAGTGTGTAATGTACAACAATTTTCTTCATGTAATTAGTTGAGTTTCAATTCAGTGGTCTGATTGATAAACGCTTATTCAGACACTGAAAGATTCTGAATTATGTCCCTCAATTCATTCAAGTGTGTACACTCCTAAAGAGTACATCGTAAACTGTGAAAAAAGAAACACACCATAACAATGATGTCTTGTAAGATCAAAGGTGTTATTAATAAGCAATGTATAAAAAAACATGAATACATTAAGAAAGTAGTACAACTAGAACTTTAGTGAACAAGAACACGAGTTGGGACAATCGAATGTATTTGAGCACAAAATTACAGAGCATCTCTGAAAGCCATATAGTAAATCGTTAATTTGCAAAATATCAATCCATCATATTAAACTTGACTGTTCCTGTTGCAAACATCAATCCATTGTCTCAGATTTTATTGTTCATGCGTTTTCATATGAATTGCGCTCCGTCCCCGTTCTTTCCTCATCTACCTTCTACTGAAATACATTCTATGCCTGAATACCGTCATATACTACTTGTGTGGATATAAGTAACCCACATCACATAACCTCATGTGCATTATAAAATGATAAATATAACCAATGAAAAGTATATTGAACAATTTAATCACTAAAGTAAAACATTTCCCATATAACATTTTGTGTTAAGCATTAAATGATCGTCACTTTCGATGTTTAGCATATTGAAGAGACTAAGTTTCTTTATAGAAAAGAATCGAATTTATTAAAGTATTAACAGCATGAGTGATCTGTTTAAACTGTATAATATTCAGATATCTAATATCATTACATTCTAACCTACATTTTCATCATCTTACCATAAACATTAACTTAACAGAGATATATCAGAAATCATGCTATATAATCACGATCTTTTAGCAATATATACCATCCTCTCAGATTTTACTTGTTAATCAACTAAAGATGTAATTTCATAGTAGGCCACATCCATAAATGATCAGAAGTTAAAGTAACACCAACTTACAAAATAATAAAATGACCACTATTTAAGGTGGAGTTTTGTTTTCTAAACTAGATTGTAATGTATACAGATGATGTTGTTCAGAAAAATAATGGAAGTTCCGCGATCGAATCATCCAGTTCAGAGAATAAAACTCCACCTAAGCTAAAACTCTTACACATTATCTCAAAATCATATAACTACTATTTATAATTTATAGACCATTATAACCATAAGCATTGAATACTCTCAGTTCCATCTCATCTTTTGAGTTAACTATTTTGGATTCCTACTTTTGATTTAAGAAATAAATTTCTTCAGTTTTTCTTTAGCTTTCATTATTTCACTTGCTAATGTCAATTAGTAACTAAAAATAGCCTTCAAATTCATTCATTTCACCAGAATCAATTACATAAATATTATTTCCAATCAATTTCTTATTATCAGTATACGCTTGTGGAGATTACTAAGTTTTTGATTGAGATCATGAACTGATTGATGTTAAACCACCACTAAAAACCTGAAAGCACTAGACATCCTATTGTGGGACTACTTTGTAGTGCGCACTCACGATCCCGCTAGCTGGATTCGAACCCAAGGCCTTCAGTCGTGCGCTCGAGCGTTTAACCACTAGACCACTGAGTCATCCGGCATCTAACGGTGTTAATGTATAACCTCAACCAATCCAAGAAATTGCGTGACCATCTTACATTGTACTGAGACCGGTACCTGTCTCTACCCGACACGGATTAGCTCCACTGGTCACAGCTTCTCACTAGAACTCCGAGAATTCCCTCACGACACTAGTCGCTAGTGAGCACATGGTAATTACCAGTATAGGGTTGTTGAGATTATTAAGTTTTTGACTGAGATCATGAACCGATTGATGTTAAAACACTATTGAAAACCTGGAACCACTAGACGACCGTTTCGTCCCATTATGAGACTCCTCAGCAGGTCGCATCCACTATCCCGCTCACGAGACAAAACGGCTATCTTATACTTCCAGATCTTCAACGGTCTTCATGATCTCAATCCATTTCTTATTGGTTATATCTTAAACGAATAAATTATAATTAGTTGATTGGTAAATTTAAAAATAAATAACCTATATATAAAGAGAAAATCAAAAACTTTTTATTCATTCCATATACATTACTACTTATATAAGTAGATTTATTCAAAATTATGAATTATAGACAAATGACCATAATCATTATTTTACTTTATTACTTAAAACATCAGCATAGATTACTTAATATACATGGTAGTGTTATATATAATACATCATGTATTCAATACAACAATAGTAAAACATCTAATGAATGTAATTATACACAATGGATATTTTTAACAGGAGCTCCTCTTCTCAATTTTGTTTCTTTATATACTTTAAAAATATTGAATACAAATTATTGTTTAATTGAATGTCAAAATAATTTGAAATGTTATTCATTTACAACAATGCCCGTAAGTTTTAGAAGGTTGAGAAAGTTGTATATTGTTATTATTGTCATTATTATTATTATTATGACTGGTAGTCGTAGTCGTAGTCGTAGTCGTTGTCGTTGTCGTAGTCGTAGTCGTAGTCGTAGTCGTAGTCGTAGTCGTAGTCGTAGTCGTAGTCGTAGTCGTAGTAGTAGTAGTAGTAGTAGTAGTAGTAGTAGTAGTAGTAGTAGTAGTAGTAGTAGTAGTAGTAGTAGTAGTAGTAGTAGTAGTAGTGGTAGTAGTAGTAGTAGTAGTAGTAGTAGTAGTAGTAGTAGTATTGCACAGAATTATTGGGTTTAAATGTAGAATAATTAAATTAAAAATAGTTTCCTCATGAGTAAATAATGACTATTCACTTTCTGTCGTTATGCATTTTAATAACAAGTTACATTTTTCCTCATCAGCTTACAGTAATGTTCAATTTTATGTTCATTATTGTTAAGTGATATTGTTTATGGGTAGTATCTCAAGTTAACAGACTAGTCATATCTCAAATAGCTTAGTGATAACTATAGTGTCCCAACACTAAATAGGATAGAATTTAAATCAGTAGCACCTTGGCAAGTGATTTCAATCGTTTAGTATAAACCAATATATTAATAGAAAAGATCGAGAACGATTAGCCACGTATACATTAAAGGATTCATTTGGATTGGCTGACAGCATGAATCACATAAATATTGTTGGTAAGTTCATGGTTTCTTTTGATGTGACATCAATGTTTACAAAAATACCACTTCTTGGAATCATAGACATAAACTGTCAGCATTCTGACATCCTACCTCTACCAGCATCAGAATTCAAACGACTGTTAATCATGTGTACAAAAGACGTTCCAGTCCAACAATATCATATACCGACAATCCGATGGTGTAGTAATTAGAAGTTCTTTAGGTCCTGTCCCGGTAGATATTTTCATGGCTAACCTCAAAAGAACCAAGCTCAAAGGAGCGATTGATGAAATGATTTATTATTTGGGTTATGTTGATGATATCTTCATTATGTGTAATAATCAACAACATACAACAAATCAGCTAAAACTTTTCAACGAAGCCCATCCAAATATTCATTTAACTATGGAACAGGAAAATGAAAACAAGTTTCATGTTCTCGATGTCGCAATAAAATGAAGGAAGCATGGCACAGTTCAACGCTCAGTTTATAAGAAAGACACATGGAATGGGATTTATCTCGATCTCAATAGCTTTTGTCCAATCAGTTACAAAAAGGCACTTGTTAAAACACTATTACACAGAACGAAAAGAATATGTTCTGCCGATACACTAGAAGAGGAGCGGATGAATGTTAAGAGATGTTCAAAAAACAACGGATACCTCTGGGATTCATTGAGAAATACACAAAACGTGAAGATAAAAAAACACTCAAAGAAACTACAGTAAACAAAAAAATATATTTTATTCAACTTCAATTCAAAGGTGATGATGTGCTAGAATCAATCATTGTGAGACTAAAAATTGCATCGATAAGTACTTATCCGGCAGCCAAACTGATTGTCCTATCCAAAACAACATGTTCTTTAACATGATCAAAGTTCGATAGGTATCCCTTTCATATAACCACCAACTATGTATACAAAATCACATGTATCTGTCGAAGCAGTTAAATCATTAGAACAAAAAGGAGGATGTACATCCGATTCAAAAATATTAAATCCATGTAACAGAAGAATACGAGAATTTTAAAACTAAAGATCTAAGAGAAGACAAAGATTGAACGCCTATTCATCATTGCAACTAATTCTGCGCCATGAAACTTAATGTCTCTAACCATTACTTAACATTCTGATGAAATAGTCTACAACTACTAATAGTTTTAGTCCGACCGTCTATGACTTCGTGAACTAATACCATGTCTTGGTTTGAACTGCCTTAAAATTTTCTTCTACTTATTGTTGCATTATTTATCGTTGTACGTTGACATAGATGTTGGTTTTGTATAGGTAGCACATGTGGTAGTCTTCTCAATAGATGAAAATTCACTAACTCATCAACCGGCTCACCACTGGTTATCTGTGCATGGTGCAATAATACACTTAATCAACGCTTCGTATTCACCTTCTGATTAATACACCTTTGAGGCGTTATCAAGTGACGGTTATCAGGAGGAGCTGCATATGAAGTGTAAGGATTATATGAGGATGCATAACCGAGCACCTTCAGCTAGGTGAGTTTATTAAAACTAATGTGATCAGCATCCAATGTCGAAGACTTACAGAGCTATTGATTTTTACTATCAAAAGTGTTTGTGAAGCGATTTTCTTGCAAAAAAGCTTGAACAGGCTGATGTTATCGTTCAATGGTGTTTGATTTGATACTGTTCGATCGACAGATTACTAATATATTTTAAGTGACAATATTTTCGGATAACGATGCAAAGTTGTTTTAGTGACTGTCATGTCAACCTAAGGGTACCTAACTTCGAAAATATATCCGCAGTATTTGTAAATAAGATATACCACAGTCAATGTTATGGATGAAAATCCAAACCGAAAAACTACGGTGAGAACCATCAAGAAATGAAATTATTTAGTTCTCCACACGGTGTAAAAAGATGACTACAATAAACACAATATAAGACGCTCTGTGAATAAAACCAGATAAAGTCCATGATTTATGATATTTGATTGAAGTTATGAACAGATCAATGTTAGAAATCTGTTGAAAACGCGGTATCACTGAACAGCCTTTACGTCGTAGTATGAAACTCTATATATACGCAAGGGTATGTGAAGCTTTTGAAGAAATTTAATTGATCACACAGACTTTATTCCCTTAATTCTTTCTTCTAATATTTATAGAGTACGGCATCATGTAAACTGTACAATGCAAAACTTTCAATTGATCCCTTATCGTTTGATGGAAGCTCACATATTTCTGCAACGAAGGCTTGTTGTGGTAGGTAGTATATCTATTCCTATAATACTTGTCCATTGATTCAAAAATTTTCTAATAGTGTTTTTTACTTAACTTTAGCATTCATTTCATCTCAGTCGTATTGAAAAGAACTGCGTCAACATTTGAACTAAGGATAGAGAGTGAAGTAGTCGAAAGCGTTGATAACTTCACTTATCTTGGAAGTCTGATAAGCCCCAATGGGTTGGTGTCTGACGACATCTCAGCACGGATTCGAAAAGTTTGATTGGCTTTTACGAACTTACGTCACCTATGGCGAGGGCGAAATATCCATCTATCAATAAAAGGACGAGTATACTGTGCAGCAGTTCATTATTTTCTATTTTACGGCTCGAAACATGGACATTAAGAGTGGAAGATTCTCGTAAGCTACTAGTATTTGACCATAGATGAATTGAAATATTGGTGGCGTCTGCTGGGATCACCAGGTAAGCAGTAGTGAGGTTAGGCGCAGTGTATTAGGGAATGATGGAAAATCAGCCGATGAGGTTGTGAATCTTCATCGACTGAGATGGTTGGGCCACGTGTTACGTATCCCTGAACACCGATTACCACGATGCTCAATGCTGACTGGTGTTGGGGATGGCTGGAAGAAATTTAGGGAAGGCCAAGTCAAAACGTGGCATCAGTTCTTGGAGTCACTAACTTCTTATCTGAGCCATGTTGGTCGGTGCACACTACTTCGTTGGGGTCCGTGTGAGTATCGTAACCAATGGTTGGAGACTGTTGGTGAAATGGCTCAGAATCAATCACAATGGCGTATGTGTATACACTCCATGTCTTCCTTCAAACTATGAGATTAAAATCACTTCATATCAGATGATCATCATGTTGTGCTAATACGGTATGGCAACTTGGACCGATGCATATATGTGCCTGGTCCTATGTTGTAGCTGACTGATTGTGGATTATAATCGGAATAACAAAGTTTCTAATTACATATTTCGTCATGATTAACTAGTAGGCAAACTACTCTTTATGATTGTTAAACACTTTGACCATCATGAGATTCTATTGTCACTTGACTTGATTTTCAAAGACTTATGGAATACACTGTACTCATGAATTAGTAACTATGTTATTTTATTCATCCGTAAAAGTCTTGCTATTTCCAAGAAAATGTTATCTTACTTTTCATCGCAACTCAATATATGGTCTGTAATAAGAATTAAACAAACATGATATTGGTAACTAGTTAGTCAGTGTTAAAGTCTCATTCTTACAAGATTTGTTGCAACACGATCATCTTGGTGACGTGTCTTTGAAATGAAAAGTAAAGGTTACTTCCAGATCATATAGTCCACATCAAACAGTAAAATTATTCGAAAAACCATTGTGAATTGGCGAGTATTGAGGAGCTGTCTCATCCTACTATAAAGTCTTTGAGTAGTGCTTATCCATAACCCTATTGGCGATTGAACACAAGAACTAGATAAGACTTACTGATGAGTGTTAATTAATGTCATCATAATAAAAGTTACATCATTATTTATGCCATATCTAGATGAAAAATAAAAAAATATTGTTTCTTACTAAATGATCTCAGGTATTCATTGATAGTTCTCAAAAGTTACCATTCATAATTCTCGTCGGCGTATAACACATATACTGTGAGATATTTCAGTATAAACTAAATTTTGTTTAACTGGGTTTTTTTTAGAAATCTCAGTTTACTTGATTAATAGATTGATACATGGTCGAATAACTACTTTAATAATTTTTCAGTAGTAAAACTATTTCAAATAAAATTATGGTTCTTACACAGATTATTTTTGAAAACAATAGAATTTTAGATTGTACACAATTATTCAACTGAATTATCTACTTCTTTCAAATTATTACCATCAAATCATCTTCTGTCATAATTTGTACATCCATTTCCCTTTTTAAAAGTAAAACTAATCTCTGTATTATTTGTACAAATAAATCATTTTATTGTTATATTTCATACTGTATGTCTTACTATGATGATATTAAATAAGTTACAATGAGAAACATCAAAAGATAACCAGAACATAAAGAAATTCTCTTTTTGATTCTCAACTGTCTAGATTCGAAGGATATATTTTGATCAAATGTTTAAAGGTCATAAAATTGATGTTAACAGGGGAACCTTAGCTCGATAGACTGCTAACAGTTGAAAAACGGAAACCACTGGAAAGCAGTTTTGCTATAGTGTAAGACTCTTCGGAAATGTGTATTACTAGGCCTGTTGGGAACCTAACTCAGTATAACAAACATATATTAATTTGCTGATACAAAGCAAACTTGATATCATTAGTGGTTATAGATTATCTGTTAGTTGATTTGTCGCTGTATATTATAGTGTATGCTACATATATCGACATGAGTACTATGTAACAATAGTCAGGATTAGATTGTCTGCCAGCACACGATGAAGGAAAGAACGGTAACAGAATGCAATTGCTATGAAAATGCAGGAACAACGAAGTCTGAGACGAGTGACTCTTATTTGTAAAGAAGGAACAGTGAGTTTCGAGATAATTGATTGATACTTTGTGAAGTATTTACTGTATGGTTCTCAAATTTTACAAAGATGTGCAGTAATCTTATGTTCAAATATATTCGATCGTAACCAATTTTGTTCTTTTTCACTGTATATATGTCAGTAAAGTGTATCCGCAATACTGAAGACATTGATCTTCAGAAATTAGTCAGTATTGACGAGTTGATAATTTAGCACTCAACACTAATATGTTAGACTAATGTGAGAATTTTAATTGATCGGTACTGTTCTTCTTTGAAAATTGTATCTGTTGAACAGTTCAATGATCATAAGTCGCAGTTTAAATATGAATCTTATTCTTGTTAACGGCTAGTATATTTTAAATAACTCTAAAATTTTAAGAAATTATTGAAGTGGAACAACTACATATATATCTATGAGCCATCAGCTAATACGTTGAATATAGTTCCCTCCTTGAAATTTAGTCAACGGCTAATTGATAGTCAAGTTATTATAATGATGACATATAGATCTACAGAATTTGACACTTTTCGAAAGAAAATCTCGGTTTACTATAAATCAACTGGGATTGAATTTAACAGGTCACTGAGATCCCATCGTGTTTTAAACCTTCATTCTCTGTGCTATGATAAAAGTCATTAGTGTGCGCTACTAAAGAATTTCAAACTGAAACGAAACACTACACTTCTTATGAAATAACACTTTGATTAAACGTATAAACCAACATTAAAATTTGATAGTCGAATTCATGAGTCAATTGATACTATGCCACCGTGATAAACCAGGAAGCACTGGACGACCGTTTTGTCCTAGTATGGAACTCCTCGGCAGTGCGCATCCAAAACGTTTAAGTTGATTTTTATAAAGGACTTTGATCAAGTGTAAAGCTACTGAAAACCGTGAAGTACCAGACAACTATTTCATCTTAGCATATAAAATAACTATCTAACCCTCCTTAGTTTTCAATAGGTTAATCATTCCATCTCAATATGTGTAATCAGAGTTAACTTCTAGTAAATGAATTGTTGATACACTCAAGTATTATTATATTCAATGTCTAGAAAGGCTCAACAACACAATAAATTTTCACTTTTATTCAAATATCTGGAACTATAACAACAATGAATAATGAAAGGAAAAAAAGTGAACAGATTTGTAGAAGAATTACCATAGTAACACTAGAAACTAAACAATAGAATATTACTCAAACCAAAGTCACTATTGAAAAACATAAAATAAGTAACAATTTAATATTTGAATGAATAAAGACTTTCGAATAAAATAGAGATTGTTTTAAACACGCATGAAATGGTAATGCGGTTTCTTTAAACAAAACGATGCATATGAATATATCTAAAGGGTTGATGGTATTGTATTAAAACAATGTAATTTGTGAATATTGAAGTATACAATCGTAAAACAATCTAGAATCAAAATGCTAATTCTCATGTTATAAGCCAAACAATGAAGGATATACACAGGATATACGATCTAGATAATTACATTGAAACAAATATGATTTTATAGCAGTATAGTTATTAGCAGGACATAGATTGGATTGAAGTAGGCTCAATGCACGATTGCGTTGGTTCACGCTGATTGTCTAATTCTTATGAGTTTTTAACCTGAACTAAATATTAATTAATGTAGAATCATTCTTGATTAAGATGAATTCATATATAAATATTCTAATAATCTTTGGCTTTAATCAACTTGAGTTAAGTTATTCCGGTGAACCTAACAACGCATATACTAACTCAGATGACATTCTAACTAATATACGATAATTTTGACATCCTTAGAGAAAATCGACAAACGAGGAATAAAACCATATCATTGCATTAAACGGTATCAAAAGACATTGTATGTTATGTTTGATATTTCGAGAGAAATGATTAGAAAACTAAGCAAGCACTTTTAAATAGATTACCTGTAATAACTACATTACGATACTAAAAGTGGTTGGCTCAACGAGTGAAGTAACGATATTTGACTCTAAACCAATGTAAATTACAGGTTAAGTTTATGCTTCAATAATCTCATTTTAGACGGTCGTTTACCGCAATTAACCCTCGAACAGTATGACAAAAGTGCGGGAATTGTAATTCATAGGATCATTTAGAGAAATGCATAAAAGCCATCACATGTGAAATAATTTTAAATATTCTAGGAAAGCCTTATACTGTAAACTAAAATCCCAAAGAAAATCTAAGTGGTTCAACTTCACACTTAATTGATTCCCGCTTACAACTTACTGGTAAGAAGCTATTTGCAAATAGACTCATTGGTGAGATAGCGCTGTTAACCGTAATGATTACATAAGTGAACATTTGTTTAATTAACAAGCAATACGTATCAGCATCTTAAATAAAAACACTTTGTCTGGTCCACTTGACATATCACCTGATAACGGGCCTTAAAAACCGAAATTCCCCAAACCCTTAAACTCTAACAGATTTCGCCGTAACACTTATTGAGGAATGCTTTCGATTTATGCAAACCTTCTGGTAATTGGCTAAAAAAAAGGCTCCGAAATCACACGCTTATTTTAAGAATCATTCAAGTTCTTTCCATATAACTGTACTTTTGCCAGTTTTCGTTGTTTTCCTTCACTAAAAACATGTTGCCCATTTAGCTTACTGCAGCTGTTAAATGAAAAAGTGGTGTCATTCATAATTACTTCAAAAAAAAAATATTGAGTCATCATCATCAACGGCATAGAACCTGGTACATGCGTGAGTTGATCCATGTTGTCATACTACATTAGAGTAACGAGATTAAAGTAACAAAAAAATATTAAAATAATATGATGACAATAATATAAAGAAAAAGTAAACCTTGCAAGATAAAGACGACACTGAACCCTACCACTCAAAGTCGCTAACCACTGATTGTAGTTATTGCGCTGATACCAACCAGACAGTTGAAAATATATCAGCATGAATTAGACCAACAATTGAAGATTTCATAGACTGATAACATGTTTTGATTTAGCCACCTTTAGCCTCTAGCCTCCCAACTCATAAAAGAAATATAAAAGGAATAATAGTAGAAGACAAAGCAACAAATTTACAAAACTGAAACATAAATAAATTTTTGTGAGAGAAAAATAAGTCGTTTTATTTCTTTTTCTTTTTGTCGTGTTTATGCTTTTTCTGATGTCCTGTAACATTATTATTACTAATGTCACTGGTATTCGATAAGAATTTATGTTCAGTTAACAAAAGGCGAGCAACATTGTTGATATGTTTGAATCGATCAGGTCCAAGTTGGATACCACCATACCATCGACTTACCTAGAAAATAGAACAAACAAACACACACAAACTATGAATGGTAAAAACAGACACTATTTTGAATGTGAAAAATGTGAAAACATTTAGGAGATCAAATAAATAAGGTTTCGCCAGATATTTCAAATAAATTTTGACGTATAGATCAAACACAACGACGTATTGATTAGGAAATGGATCCTTGTAAGAAATATGTCATACATAGGAAGATAAATCAAAAACCACTTCAACAGAATCCAGAAGAATTTGTAACTTGTTTTTTCAAGTACCGCCAATCACTCGATAAAAACTTTGTGGATGAGTTAAAAGTTGCTAACTAATCAAATATTACCTGCTATGAATACAGCAAAACTAAGGATTTTATAGTCCTAAAACCTTAATTATTACACTCGTGCAACAAGAATTATTTGTGAGCCGACAATATAGATTCTTCTCAATGAGTTTCACCTGTTTTCTATTTCTTCATTTGTTTTCTGATATTTTATGTTGGCCTGTCTCTCAAGGTAAAAATCAGATTGTATGTAACAAGGAGGTTCAAACTAATATTACTTTTTGGGAAGATAATAAAAGATTTGTGGGCCCCTACACGAGGGGTAACAGGTGTAAGTAAAGTAAGTCTTTGTAAAAGGCTGATGTTACTCCTCTCATTGTCTAAATGGGTCAACAGCAACTGAAGTGTAATTTAAAACAATTAGTCCCTTTGATAAATTTCGATAATGATAATCTTCGTCTTCTAATATCATAATGAAGTGTAATTGTAAGGAAACTGTTTGATTTCCATTTCATAAGTGTAAGACAAGTCATTATTTTATTAAAACTTACTCTAGGAGGAAAAAGCTTTCTACTGCTTCCAAGTTTCAAAATGTTTGTCATGATTGTCGTGATTTAAATAAAATATTAAAGATGCGTTGCTCTCCCTTTAAGGAGAAAATGTTACCTCATGATTGATCTGTATTATAGTTCAGATTGATCATAAAGAATAAGGTAGCTAAGTGGATAAACCATTTAACGTATCGAAGTTTCATTTGCCCTATTGGGTTGGCTTGATGAAATATTGGTAGAGATAAAGAAAGCTCGCTTGACGTTTACTAAATAACATCTCTTTGTGGCCTTCGTGTGCCGTTTCACTGCACGGCAGTTTTCTGTCTTATTTTACAGCTGTGAAATATCGCAACATTCGTCAGCTACTACTATTTGATCACAGACGTCTTGGAAGCATTGGGAACATCTATTCACTGACTACCGGTCGAAGTCATATCGGTAGATACATACTACCTGGTTGGGGTCCACGTGATTACTGTGATCAATGGTTGGATGTCTGGAATGACATGAGTTACGATAGATCACAGTAGCCTAGATGCACTGGCTCTTTATCATTCTCTGGATTTTGCGTCCAAGCATTTCTTTACCCATACCTTTTTGTTCAATTTACTTGAACAATATTTTGAACGTTTGATCTTTTTCACCATAATTTCAACTACGATTATTTCGAATCTCAAGCTATTCATCTCATCATGCTGATCTAATATGACTAACCAATATTTGTGCCAAGGTTTACAGTGACTATGACTAAAAGAAGTAGAAATAAATTCAGTCTAAGGAGAATCTAGCCAGCTAGAAAAAAGCGAATACATCATGGGTAGATCCAAACAGTTCACACTAATAAGAGTGGAACCAGAAGGGCGAGTCAAAAAAGATGACCATCAAAAAGGAGAAAATTAATAAATGCGCGCATTGAAATGGGAAATAACACTTTTAGTGTTCGCTTAGCCCTCTATCCTGTATTAATATGCCCCTTTTTAATGGTCCCACATATTAATGTCCACCTCTTTACACTCGCCCTTTCGATAGTCAATCTTTTGCTTGCACCCTTCAGGATGGATACTACTCCAAACACGACACATTTAAAGTCACCATCAAATAATTTTGGTTAACAGTAGCTATCCACAATTAACGTACCGGTGTTTTCTCGGAAGATTGACACAAAAGGATAAAGAATGTAACACTTTGAAAAAAACGTGATAGGAGACACCAATAACTTTTAACTCAAAGGACTGAACCTTAAGAACAATTAGACATTAGACCAGTTACAATTATTAGTAATTTTGCTGCCTTCGATTATTTGGTATTCAGCAGTGTAACCAATAAGACTAAATCTACAATGCCATTTTGTTAAGAATATTTAAATTTGCCCACGTAGTGAAAATTAATCAATAATGATGTCTACAGTTGCCACTAAATAGGTTAATATTATCTGTTGAGAACTGAACTACACTATTGCTCAGATGAAAACCAACGAAGAACAATTTCCCCTTTACAGCATACCATGGTCAAATAAGATGTAAAAAACTATATGTTAATATTACAACTTGGTACCTTGAATAATCGCCAATATTAAATACAATTTTTCAGTTATAACACTCACCATAACCGCTACATTTTCAATTCCTGATAATGTAAGTAAATGTAATAGTCGACCACCTGCATGTGTTTCTCCATCATCGTCACAGTCAGCTTCTTTGGAGGAGATACGCCAAGCCAGGATATTATGAGTAGCTGTAGCAACTTTCCTATCCGTAAGCAGTGTTGATATAAAAAGGGATACTTCACCACGGGTCGAAACACGTGCACAATGAGCCTATACAGTCAACCGACATAGTCAATATTAGTAATTTATTAATGCCGCTCATATTGAACAGTATTATAATTCATCTCACAAAACATCCCACAGCTTAAACAGAATTTTAGCCGACTCATGGTTCAAATGCTAAGTTATCAAAGCAAAATGTAATCAATAGTCAATTGCATTAATCCGCAATTTGGTGATAAGTTGCATTAAAAACCAAAATTTTCAAAAACCAAAGTTACTTATATTGTTCAAATTAGGATATCAACCTACTTACGTATAACTGTCCTAGAGAAAACCAAGACTTCAGTAAAAACATATTTCTGTATGTGTACTCTCCTGAAAGGTTATTACGGAATTATAACAAACAAGCTAATGAAAAGATCATAGGGAGATCTCAATATACGTAATGTTACATAAAACATCTGATAACCAAAAGCCTGTATGTTACGTTGTTTCAATACTGATAATCATTCGTATATGCATATAACCACTGCCGGGGAAGTTCTACTCACTTCCTTCACGTGACGGCAATGTTGTTTACGAAATTCAGGACGTAAAGCGAATATCCGACGTTTAAACCGGGTCGGTGGGTATGGAGGGTTCACCTAAGAAAGTTAGAAAACCCTGATCCCAAACCAATGGTCACATGGGCCACAGGATCCTGAAGGAACAAATGGCGTATGAACCAGTCGCTGGTCAGCGGCTATCATGAGACTGCATCTCTTTACGTTGCTCCAATACCTTGTGGATTAGACCTTTAGGTCAAAAGCTCGGAATGCGGCCATATAAGAAAACCACCTGCGTGGGTTTTGGCGACTGGGCAGTATCCCAGCCCTCACAAAAATCGAATGAGATTTGTGTGAGGCATACTTATTTGGTGCCTCCGTGTACCAATGTTTATGAGGTTAAATAAATAAATATCATTCGTATAATTGGCTCTTTTTTTCCAAACTGAACATACTAAAGTACTTAAGTTCATTTTATGGAGGCAAATATATATGTTGTTATATGTAACTATCAACTGAAAAAACAACAGAAAACGACAATGACGATAATGGAACTACCTACGAAAATAATCAGGAATTCTTGTGATTACCAGATAAAACAAGTTAACTTCCCGTCAACTAATATTACCAAATGAGAAATTAACAGAAAGTAAATATACTTTAGAATGTTTTGGAACCAGAATAATAGAAGTATAATCGTTTTATGGTAATCTTTTGAGAGGTTGTGCAAATAAAAACAATAAGTAGCATTTTTTAACAATTCACTTAGACGAAAACAATTTATTATCACCAAGTTAGTTCCTTAACTATCTTACAAGTACTTTCATCTTACACCTTGTATCCTTAACACTTCGAAAGTAGTTAACACAAAATACAAGTGTAGAACAATCATGTGACAGTCATGATATATAATTAACGTAGATCATTTCACGAATGTTCGTCAACGAATGTGTCAGAACAGTTGTAATAGTAATAGCATCAGTGGTAGTAGAGAAGAGAATATGATTTAGAAAGAATACGTTTGCGGAATAAGACGTATAAGATTATTTTAAGATTAAAGAGCTATAGGAAAACAGTGAATGCACCTGCACCATTGGACCAACTTTGAGCGATTTCACCCACAGAATAATCATGAATCTACAGTTCAAAAACCAACATTTCAGTAATAATCAATGAAAAAATAGCTAACATCTAAGGAATACTTATAGTTACGTAGGTACTTATTGATAAACGGTGCTCTTGTTTAAAACAATCACTTTCAATAAAAATATTCCCATACGTCACACTGAAAGTATAGTTTGATATGAAACAAATATCGACCTTTTAATCACTAAGATAGTTACCTGGAAAATGCTTTTACGATCTATAAGCGGTTCACCATGATAAATCTCTGGTACTTTTGAGTTTAAAGCAAATGGCAAAATCTGGGGAGATATGTGAAGATGAGATTTTACTGAAGGCACCGATACAACCGTACATGATAGTTCGTGATTTTCCAACACAGACTGTGATGATGATGCTTCAACTTTATGAATGGTTAGATTTTCAGTACTCGAAGACAAATAATTACACATGAATGATCGAACAGTCTCAACCAAGGAATAAACAACTGGAGAGCCAAGTGAAGACGAGACTACAAACTGCAATTGTTTGTCGAGTTCATTAAGAATATTACACTTGAGCCAAGGTGCATGCAATCTGAAAACATAGATGATAACATCACAATACGAACTCATATTTTACTGGATTGATCGAAGGATAGCCAGCGACTTGCTGGAATTTCAGGATAATTTGTTCCTTGTTAGTAGTATCACCCATTTTCGAGTCGATCCTTATCTCGTAGACTCTATGACTCCATATAATTAACAATAAATTTACCTGTTCTCAGGCTCCAAGATAAAAAAGTCCTCTCCATATATAGCAGAGAGAACTTCTATTTCTTCTGCTGCTTCTGTGAAATCATACGGTTGATCAGTTGAGAGGTTCATTCGCTTTACTCCTACTTCTAAATTTATAGTATATATACACACGAGTAGTGACGAACCGTTAAGACGAAAAATAGACTAACATACCTACTTTCCAAGCTCAACAACAAAATCATTACTTTTATGAAAATCTAATCAGAAAATTAAACTAGATGGGTTTTTTCTCTGGTAAATACACACCGGATTTTAAATAAGTTAATATTAAAAAATGGAATAAATGCTCAACTGACTGCATTGCCTGATTAATTTGATGGTCATATACATAATACCTGGTCAACTTATCATCAAATACACAACACTGTTTTACACTGATAACGTCAAAATATAGCGAGTGGCTGAGGATGCTCAAGTAAGTGGACTTCAGTTCGAAATCAACAACCTGTTAAAGTGGTCTCTGATATGAAAAAACCCTAACAATAGGGCTGCGTCACACTGAGTATTGGATATGCAAATAGCACAAACTAAAAAATTAAATCTTTGTCCCACTAGTATTAACTTACAAAGACCATAGGATAACAGCAAGTTATCTTTTAAAGAGTGATTCACTACTGTTCGGTTGAAGCCAGTTATTAAAACAGTGACGACATTAACTTTCATAAAGTGAGGTAAAATTATGTTTAAAACTGTTCACATGGCTTAAGCGATATCCAAACCAAAAAGTATATACAGGTCATAGGCCCCTGTTTGGAAGACGACTAATATCTTGCAATGAGTGCAAAGGATCATTACGTAGCGGGTATTTGCTTAATCCCTAAGCTACACGCTTAACCTTAAAATAGGCTTGATGACTTAAACGTTTCTACATAATCCTACGGTAAGTGGAAAAGACCTAATTATTACTCAATAGACACTAGGTATTTTGAACTTAGCATACTACTTACTCTCATATAAGGAATACTCCAAGAAGACAACGGATGGATTTAAAAGCTAAACACGTAAAATCGCCGTAGTGTACAGGTTTTCCCAGTGAGTAACTAGAACTAGAAACCTACTATCGCAAGAATTAGCTAATTAGCGAGAAGACTAGATGAATACAGAAGGATACTGAAAAAGAACTAACTCCGGAATGCTGAACGTGCAGCACAAACGCGAAAATCAACTGAAATCAACAGATGTTTCTAGGGCAGCACTCCGCCTACGATAAATTGTGCTGAAGGTTGTACTCACTGTGAATTTATGCCGTCAAAAAGTGACAAATAAAGGTCCTCGACGTTCTAACTCCAAAGAAGGTGAAGAATGAGAACCATTGACGCCCTTCTTTTTTAACAATACCTCCCAAGGGACATAGAGTTCGTTTGAGTCATGTTTGCCTTTATTTCCTCTTTTTGCTAGGGTATTATTTACGAAGTAGTGTATGGTTGGTAATGTTTTTTGATACAGCGACCGACATTCTTGTGGTATTAGTTCGGCTACAGTCGTATAAATTTGTACAGACATGTCAATGACCCACAAGACATCTTGTTACAAGTAGATTTGCTTACAGAGAAATACAACGTCCGGCCTTAGGTAATTATCTAAGTTTACGTCTTGCCTGAAGTTGCTTTATGTGCTGAGACATGTAAGGAGCAGAATATGATAAACGAACGAGGGTAAAAGTGAGCCGAAAACTCAACAAGTGCATAGAACTCGCTTGCATTTATTGAAGAAAGCAATCGATGACAATCATATATATTAAGCATGGGTAAGGATGACTTACAAGTGACCTTAAAGCAGCGCAAGAATGACCTTCACATTGTCCACCTACCTATAAGGATTAAATGAGGGTTAGAAATTGGTGTCAGAAATAAAAATCACGGTTAACAGTTGGTCGTTAGGGTTAAGAACTAGATTTTGACTTTCCATCACGAACTGACATCAATCATAATGCCAAATGTCATCTAGCCAAGTGAGTGGATGAAATTTGCGCTAAACCTTGAATCGATTTCGATGATCCATAAATTTTTATTATTTATGGCAATAACATATATGGAACCAGAAATTATTAACGTAAGGTTCCAAATGCACTGGTGAAAATCTGTGTTAATCATTCAAATGCCATGGTGATTTCATTGTCCAACTGATACTAAAGGAAGTAACCAAGCACAAAATTGTCTGAATAAACTTCGTTTTTCATATGCTTAGATTGTCGTCATTACGTCATTATGCGAAGCATAAATGAGTGCTTCTGAAGAGATCATTAAAAGTGGACCCACCATTTATACTGCACTCACTCCCAGAAAGAAAGATGATTTTTAATGAATATTGTTATGTCCTTGGCAATACGAACATCAGTTTAGATATGCCAACTTACATGACCAAAATAAGGACGTATACACCAGTACGGACAGCCTACATTTCAGACGTGTTTTTCTCAGTCTAGTCCTGCCTCTCAAGTCCTGAATGCCAATCACAGCCTCCGCGATAGTAATCATATGCTTCAAATATAATGGGTTTACGTATAAACAAATCAGACCACATCATACCATGAAATGGAAAATAACATCTATACAAGCTCAGGCAAAGTTTGTCTGTGATCGTGATAAACTGATAACAATATATTCAGAATAACTTGGAATAGTAAATCATATAACGGCAACCAACAGGCCGTAAAAAGCTTATATTGAAAGTAATATGAACATACATATAATAAAGTTCCTTACTAGTCCATAAGTAATTATTAACGGCTATCATTCATTTATTCTCGTCCGGATATAACAAAAATCTAACGGCAAATTAATACTCAAAATAAATATTTCACTTAGTCTTCAACATTGATGCTGGCCTTATCGGTTTTAATAGACGCACACCAGCTCAAGGCGCTCACTCACGCATCCTCACTAGGTCAGGAGCGGGCACGCCATGCTTCTCACCCTTTGCAATCATTAGTCAGCTTAAACCAAACGCTTCTCGATATATCAGTAGGTTTCGAAATATAACTTCGGACCCCTCGTTTCTGACGTCTGGGTTAACTGAAAGGATATACTTTGACCATAAAGGTGTTTTATGTAAAAGCATTTGTCTTTGTTACTAGAATAATAGCGCTAATTGAAAATCCTAGACCTGCCATGATGAGGATGCCTAATGTATAGAAACTGAAGTGGAAGTCACATCGTTTTCTGTACGCTAAATGGCCAAAAATCGGGAGAATTTTGTGTGAGGCCTTGCCAAAATCGAAGTATGGAATTATTGCCGATTAACCGATGTCTTTTCGCTGGGTAGTTTGGTTAAAAGTTTTCAAGTGCGATATGAAGCAGGGGACTCAATCACAAACCTATATTGAGAGGGACTAGTAGAGCTTGTCGGAAGTGTTAACAGACGTTGGTGGATGATTTCTTTCATCTTAATAAGGCCACGATTTGCAACATCACTTCTTGATCGTGTTTTGAATCTGGAAGCATTAAATAATTTGTTCCGTACAAATGGATAGGCTCCGTGATCCATGAAAATATAGAGCCGTTTTAAACATAACAAAAGAAATTCACTGTCACCTCACTTCACGAACGTTATAGGAATCTCGTCAGGTCAACCGTCGTAGGACGTTTTTAAAGTATTTGGAGTTTAAAATAACCCATAGTGTCATTGAATAAGAAAAAGTGAATTCAGCGAAGAAAATTTTCTTTTCGACGAAATCATTTACTTAAGCTGTACATTCGAATATACAGTTATATGGGAAATGTATGTCTATAGAAGGATAGAATGGATTGTATCAAAAAAATGGATTCGACTATAAATAACAAATGAGGTTAACGTACTAATCAAGGGGTAAGGAAGAACAAAATTTAAGAGTCAGATAATAGTCCAACTGACAGATATGAAGAAAAACAACAAAGGTCATAATAATAAACTGAATGATAATCAAGAAAACTTGTAAAAGGTAATAATAATAAATGATTAGAGTTTAAAGTGCAAAATAGTAATTAAAAAATATGGATAATAATAAAAGTGCATTAAAAAAACGCCTAGAAACATACCCATTAAGGCCAGGGAAGGATAAGATGTTGGACAAATCGTTTCTGCACGCACAGTTCAGACTTTAGTTTGTGGATTGCCAATGCTCTGCGGTGCATAAAATATTGATTCGAACCCCCTTCGATCCAGTTCCTTTAACTCTGTAAACTATTTTAAGCGAAGAGTCTTTTGGAGCGATATGTCCACAGTTGATTAAGTGCACCTGTATAGGACGAATGTACAGCTTAAGTAAATGATTTCGTCGAAAAGAAAATTTTCTTCGCTGAACTCTCTTTTTCTTATTTGGAGTTTGCTTGTTGTTGGTGAATGTAAAATGAGTTGTGGGTAAAAATTTATCTACCAACTTAGCACAACATCAATGAGATTATTTGCATTTCGTGGTGTAGCACTGTCAGAAATGGTTGTTGAATCGATCATATATGGTATCAATATCGTCTACAATGTTACCGTTGATAGATAGTTTGTGATTCGCACAAACAACAAAGTGTTGGAAAGTATGGCGAGCGCTTCGCGATGTCTGGGGAGAAAAGTTGACAATTTTTACTTGGAAATCAGTAATAACTAGGTAATACTTCCATTGCTTTAAGGCTTACTTTGAGTACTGCATCTTACCATAGGAAACGCGACCGGATTAAAGGTAAGCGTGTTGAAGTGACCGGAACCGTTAAATATAGGTTCTTTGTCGTTGTATTTTTAACCTCATTATATACACAACTTGTAAACTGTTTTTCCCCATCATATATTCCTTTTCCTTTACTACTACTACTACTACTACTAGTAGTAGTAGTAGTAGTAGTAGTAGTAGTAGTAGTAGTAGTAGTAATGATATATCAATGAAATTTTGCTCAATTTTCATTATTTACGTTAGTGATCTACACTAGTAAGACGTTAAATGACACAACCTATTATTATTGCATTCCGTGCTTATTGTTTTCATTTTTATCGTCGCTTAATTCCATCAATTTCACTGAGCCCTAGCCAAATCATCCGGTATTTGGGCCACTGAATGTCGAGCAGTTCATTGATCCTCTCCAAGGCCAAGGATCACCACTGCATGGGTCAGTCCATAGCGTGCAGTTAATGGATGCGTGTTGGTTGTCGTTGCCCTTGATGAGAATTAATGAAAAGTTTGACAACTGCCTGATGACTTGGTTACGGATCAGTGTCATTTCACTAGTTCTACAGTGATAATGGCTAGATGTTCATATAAGCTCCTCATAAGGCAAGTATCGTGATCCTTCATACGTATGCTCAGTTATCTTGGAAGTAAGTTACGACTTTCATGCCATAGGCTACTAAGCACAACTTCGAGATTGCAGTGCTCATGTTCGATTTGTGATTAATTGGCTTTAATGACAGGAAAAATCCATTTACCTTGAATAACTACCTACGGTAAATTTCATTGTTTGCGGTCGAAGTCACCCCATTCCGGATCAGTACAAACGCAAAATCAATCTAATCAACCAGTATCTTGAATAAAATAAATTAAAATTTCAATGTTGGTTTTACGTCGTGAAACTCGTATGTTAAGGTCAATTGAAGGTCAGGCTGCGATGCATATGTTGCAAAGTTGGTTGCGATGCTGTGATAGATACTGACTGTTTGATAATGTTTGTAGTTGTTTTGAAATTATTAGGCATCAATCCTAAATCATGTCTTTATTACCTCGCATGCTGCAAGTTAGACGGATCTGTAATTAAGTTTTCTGGTAAAATTATATTCTCATCCATCTGCTCTCACACGCTGTTTAACTAACTAGTATTTCAATCATAATTTTAATGTTGATAATATCAGTGGTCCAGAGAATTAGGCATCATTCGCATGGTAACTTCAAACGTTTTGACTGTTTCTGCAATGATCTCATATACAGAAGCGACCAAAAGTCAGTCTGTGAGATGTGTATTGATGGATACGGTGCGATTGGTTAGATATGTCATTGATATCCTTAGAAGCAGCTAATTCGGATAAATAATAAGCATTCTAGTTTTTTACGCCAAACAGAACGGTACATAAAAGCACTTGTTTTATCATTATAACCGACTTGACTAGATATGCCATTAGACAGGTAATTTTGTACCCTCTTTTGAATAATCTACCGTTAGGGTATTTCAAAATAACGACTTGACACCCTTAACTTCTGATTTAAATGGCATATTTTGCTTTAACATAATTTGTACTGGTAACATTAGTTACATTAGTTAGTATGGACGGATAATACTAGTTACATGTACAAAGTAATATTATTTTTACTGTTAGCTTAAACTTTTGCTGATCGTACGTCACTTACTGATTTTAGATATTTGGACTATATGAAAATGGCTGTTAATTGTAAGACCGCTAATCACGTACCGATTACCGACGGAGATATCCAATCCACTACCTCTCAAAATGATGACCATGCTGATCAGCCACGAGATCCCCATACAATGGGGAAAAAAATAAAGTGATCTTAAACAATAACTCAAATTACACTAATCTTTCTGTAGTGAGTACCAGGCACTCATGAGTTTAATCAAGGGTAATATTGGCACTGGGATACTTTCTATGCCAGTTGTTCTGAGATATGCTGGTCTGTGGGTAAATTTGTATTTGTATTTTTCTTATTTTCAAGACTGGGTTTACTATGATTATAGTATCAGGGATTTTGTCAACTTACTTAATGCATGTTCTTTTGAGAACTGCCAATGCAGTTCAGCAAAGGTATGCGTTCATGAATCACACTTGTTTATTTCGGAATCATATAGACATAATTGGGATAGATCAAAGATGGATTATGCTGAGACCGCATTTTTAGTGCTCAAATATGGTCCAGAAAGATTAAGAAAGCCCAAAGGAAAGTTGAAGTATGTTTTCGATCTTTAGTTGTGTCAAACTCGATTTATTTTAGACATACGGTCAATGGATTTTTGATTTTGACACAAGTTGGGTCTTGTTGTGTTTACACCCTATTTATCACGGAAAATATT